GGATTGACAGGGTCACACATGGGCAATTTTAATGCAAGAGCGTTACAAAATACCGGGACATCGGTAGTGTCGACCCGACGATTGCAAAGAATAAATGTCAGAATCCCAGCTGGAATCGAACCCATGCGTGCCGTGAAGCATTTTCCACAGTGCTACACCAGGTCTCCTTTTCAAATAGATCCCAATATTCGTGAACCGTCAATAGTGGTTGCCGTGCTGCCTACCCAATTTTATAAACATTGTCTATGTACTCTTTTGATACAGCCGTCTTGTTGGGTTAAAGTCAATTGTGGTTAGTTACCATGCGCTGAAGTTGATTTATGTAGCAGTGTCCAGGGCCAGCATCCTCGCGAGCATCAGCCCTTCATGTCAGCTTTTGGTGTTGCTAATACGCATGTTCCAGTTGGCATCCGTGCGCGAGTGCAAACAACTGGTTACAAAAATATTTGCAACCATTCAGCATATGTCTGCGCTTGCAACATTTGTACATATATTTAGCGTCATTTCATGACTTGCCGTTAAAAAAAAATTGCGACACGGTCGCCTTCCCTCCGGATGTTTCGCATAACGTCGATTCCCATGGTACGTGGGATCTGCCGAATTTTTTTCTCTCTCTCTTTTTATAATCCAAGATATCGGCTACTCCTGTGTGTTCTTTTGTCCATACTGCTGTCTTCCCATCTCTTACAGTTACGCCTATGATTTTAGGCACAGAGCACCTATAGTGGCTCGGTCTGTAGGCATTTAATGTCGTCATGGTGTGACATGTATATAGTCATGGTCCATCATGAAACGGGTGTGCACCACAAAACAATGGAGTAATTCCCACCACTCGCCACCTGTCCACTGAAAATGAAGAAAGCAGTGGTTCGCCCAAGTAGGCGGCGATATTATAGTGTGGCTGGAACACCCTTCCCTACATGCCGTATGGAGCAGACGCCGGGCACGTGGTGAAGAAGAAGCAGCGCATTAAGGTAAGCTGCATTCAGACGCAGTGTTCTGACGACGTAAGAGAAGCGGGAGCATACTTGCCGACATGACCGGTTTCAGGCTTGACACCAGTATTGCCTTAACAAAGAGATCTCTTTCGAAACATAGCATGCTTTTCTCCTCCCCTCCCCATGTTTCACGTTAGCGGAGCTGAAACGCGGTTGCTTTGCCCCTCCCCAGCTTTTTTTAGGAGCTTGCTCGGCAAGCTTCATATGTGCTTGCGCCTTGTCCGGCGTCGGCGTGTACGCTTCTCCGGTGATTTTAGGAATACCCTCCAGATGGCACTCTGCCCCTCAGGGCATCCTCTGCTCCTCAGAAGCAACGTGGAAGAGGTAGGCTTGTCTTAGGAGCTCACGGGAATACAACAAATCATGGAGTACAAGGTGATATGGGATGGACATCGTTTGAGGGCAGGGAAGCTAGCAGCAAGATAAAATTTGAAAAGCGATTGAGAGAAATGGGGGAGGAGCGTTGGGCTAAGAGGGTATTCAGCTACTTGTACATGAAGAATGTAGATACAAAATGGAGGATACGAACCAGAAAATTGACTGGTAAATACTTAGGAAACAACAGGGGGCCAAACCAAAAAGAATTATCGGTTAAGAAGAATGTGAAGGAAGCTGAGACCGATATGTGGAGAATTGGCATGATTAAGAAGTCCGCACCAGAGATCTATTGAACGTTTAAGCAGGAAATCGCCAAGGAAAGGATCTATAGTATACTCGGGGTAGTTCTTTACTGTTTGAGGCCAGGGCGGGAGTATTGCGAACCAAGATATATCGGGCCAAATACGAAGGGGTAGACACGGTATGCAGTGCGTGTGGAGAGGAAGAGGAAACTACCGAACACTTGATGATGTTCTGTAAAGGGCCTCACCCTATGTGAGGCCCTTTACACCGCTTGTGAGGCCCTTTACACCTCGCCACCGCTTGGTGTGCTGTCCAGCTCGAATCCGAAGACCCAAGAGGCCCTCGTGAGACGAGCGAGGACAGCGGCCCGTGCCAATAAGATCCCGGACTAATATTCCCACTCACCGACATTCCTTCCTTGGTCGCAAATAAATGTTTTATTCTCTCGGCAGATGTGCATCCTTTCTCTTCGCCGGTATGCTCTTCGTTACCACTCTTCCACATAAACACCTCAGAAGCCAAGGAATCAGCGCGGCGGGCTCGCAACGCAGCAACAGCTCGGGCTCACCGCCAAGACCCTGTACTGACAGCCCGGGAGGCCGAAGCGTATATCGTGCGATTGCAAACGTCAAACCACCATCAAGGGCACCTGTATCGATGTCATCTTCTCGCACTTTTCATAATGCGTCCCACCATCGATGATCCCATGGACACATACTAGTCACAAATTAGTATTCTTTAATTAAAAGGAAACGAATCCACGTGCCCATCGAGAGGCACCTATCTTGTACTTTGCAAAAGAACATCAATTGTGTATGTGTAGTGTGTCATGTAGTTCATCAAAATGTATATATTGCATCCAAATGAAAATAATAGAGTTGTGTATGTAATGTATATATAAAAACGATGTCACGTCTATATACGATTGTAGGAGATGTGTACGGAGGATTCACGCGTTACCCGATCATCTCCGAGCAAGCTCTCACCCCTAACATCATGCATTCGCTTTGTGGACATCGCGGTGATTTTTTTTTTCGTTCAACCGCATGAAGTGAGGTCCTTAATGATTAACAGTGAAGCTGTTATTAGTCGAGGCTTTCGCATCCGCTAACGTAGCCATGACCACGTGGCCTGACAGTGTGGAAAGGGCTGTGCTCGTAGGAAGTGGATGGCCGTGCCGCACGCTGCGAGAGGTGAGGGTAGAAGATCTCGAGGATCGGAGGGGTGAACCTCTGAAAAACGCGACAAGATGGGGTGAGGGCGGGGCTCAGTGGAGTATAGAAGAGGATATCAGTGCCTGTAAGTGCTCAGCAGTTCGCGTTTTCAGAGTGACCGGCATTTTTTCGTTCTCCCGATGGAGAAGCCACCCGACGTAAGCGTCAGGGAAGGCCACCAGCGACGCTGTTTCATCAAGGCCTGACCGCACGTACGCGTTTCAGAGCGTCGCTTTCTCACGTGACACCACCCCCTCTCGCTATGGAGAAAGAGGGCGCGGCGCCGTGTCAGAAAGCCTCGCGCTGAAACGCTCCAACACGTACGTGTGGTCGGGTCTTCACTGTCCACGAAGTGGAACTGACTGAATCTTTTTTCTAGAGTTTCAATTTTATTCTTCAGGCATCTGCGCCACGTTAGAAGTGACTTTGTATTGTATGGTACTTACATCCATGTCGGTTTTTATATGTATGCATTTATATTTAGAGATACACACAAGCTAAGGATTAAGAAGGAAGGGGTGGAATACCACCTTACCTCTCCCATATCCCATCCCTAACTACGTCTACGGCATAGCTTACTTCATCTTACAGCCCTAACAAACGTTACAATGAGTCAGCACGTGGCGCGTGAGAGGGCGCACGTGTCAGTGTTTACAGGCAACAAACAAACAAACAAACAATCAAACAAACAAACTTCGTCAGCCGCACGATCCACCATCACCATAGGGAGAGGGCACTGCACCGAGCCTATGCACCACACGCTGCAACGCGTACGTGTCCTCACTCCAGCTTGCCATCCTTTGGGACTCAACGCGTGTAGCAACGTCATGCGAGAGAAAATGTATTTTCCTTTGGATCGAAGCATATGCATCTGTCTCAGTTATATTTCACCGCGTTGTCCATGTATATTGGTAAAAATAATCTGTACGAAGAGGAAATCATGTGCGCTAAATTGCGTTCGAGAGAGAATAGACAGATCGGAGAAAAGGGGAAATAAAGAAATAGGAGAGAATTCACTGCAGTGTGTGGAATTTCACCGCAAGTCAGAGGCGTTCACACAAGCCCGACAGGCTGTACGTAATAAGTAAGGGTATGGGGAGACTTGGATTACGCTTTGCCCACCCCTCTCCCCTATGGGTGGCTTTGGGAGAAATTTTTGGGTGGCTCCAGCCACCATGCTCAAGCCCCCCATACCCCCCGCTGGCGCCGCCTCTGCCTATGGGGAATACTGCGCACGCAGATGCCCATTATACCGAACTATACCAAAATATTTTATTTTTTTTTTGTTTCTGAGCGTTGAAACTTTTTCATGAAGCCTTCCCATTTCGATGGTTTCGGAAGAAGGTACGTGTTCATTAAACAGAATCGCGACTTCTAGTAGCGTTTTAATTTCTATTACTCCTACAGTTGGTACAGCTGGCAACACTGCTTGTTCTCCTTCTTGCTTTCTTGCTACTTTCGCATTAAAGGGGCTCATGACTATGATGTACTGGGTTCAAAGCTTCTGCATTGGTGCATTAACGTTTTCTTACCTATGTCCTGCTCAATATACGTCATGGTTGGACGTTCAAGTTGAACTACTTCCAGTTTACATGTTGGTCCTCAAACGCTCCATTGACATTTTCTTTCTTCAATTTTTATTTGAGACATAGACCCAATCAACTCGAGGCATGTGCTTGCTTTCTATTATCAAATCCAATTTTTAAGGACTGAAGTTCCCGTATTTATGTTAACACTTCAGTCGCGTTACATACGAAGGAAAAATCGACAAATCGAAGCGTCCGTGTGTGAACCTTACATATGCAACAACACAGAATCATTGTACGCTTAGCATGCAGTGTCTTGCTCTCTGGGCTAACTATAATTAAGTCAAATGAAAAAAGGTAGCTCAGGGCAAAGTGGTCAATATATATTTTTACAAATAACATCGCTTACAATGAAACCATAGTATTACGTGGACGAAACTCGCGCTCCGGCGAGGCAGTAGCGACATCTGAAAGGTAGGAAAGTACCTCACAGGCGTTGTGTGAGCACTTATGTTTTTGTATATGCAGGTGTCTTTGTTCATTTTTGTTCGACCTTCTCGCTGTTCGTGTGGGCACGCGGCCAGGCCGGGTCGTCGCGCGTGGGACGCGCGCGCGCAAAGCGACCGATGCGGCACACAGCGTCTCGCGGGCGAAACTGCGCTGATTCCACGTCCGGAAGTCGATCAGGCAGGATGGAGCGCGACACCAAGCACACTTCCTGTAATTGCCTGGATTTTAACAAAATGGCCAAGGTGAAGAAAGTGGTGGACGAAGCACGGGAACAAAACAACCCCGAGCTCGACCTGGTCGACCGAGGAATCACCTCCATCGAAGAGATACCCGGATTGTGTGAGTTGCGGCTCTGCGAAGGCGTACTCCTCTGTTTTTGACCCCTTTTCCAAATTTGGCGCGGCCGCCGTATTTTTAAACCGGTTGTGATGTCACATCTGCGGAGGTTGATTCACGTATATGGGGTTTACATTTTGCGGTCTATGTCGCGCCGTTGCGTTGATCCGTAGTGCGACATGGGCCGTAGCAATGCTATCGAGTGTTTACTATAGCGTGTCTGCCTGTGGTTGAGTGTCGGTCGCGCGAAACATGCCTGCACATGCAAACAGAAAGTAAACAAAGCAACGCATGGGCACGACCTGGGCGTAGCCATCAAGAGCTCACTTTCACTGCTTGGCGACTCTGCAGCCGTCATAGCGTCGAATTATTGCATTAAAACTGCTGGAAGCTCTGTACATAGTGCAAGAAGTCGTGTCTCACGTCCGAGTTGCTTACCTGCCTCTATTTCTGCCGCAAACGCCTTGTTTAATGCGTGAGGCGTGAGCATCAGTGGTTTTCACCTGTATGCTGGTTTGCATTTCGTCAAACGTTTTCAGCTCTGTGTTAAGAAATTAACACCAAGAAGAGTAATGCTCGCGTTTTATTTGGGAAAGGAATGCCCGTGTGCCGACGCCTACGAGCGACAGTTGCTTGCGTGGTACGTGTCATCGCTGTGATATGCGTTGACATTGGTCATGACGTATATTGGGCGTCGCTGATGTGGTTATTTTGCGAACATGAAAATGTTAGCGCTCGCTTTCGGTTACAGAAGAGATAGTGTTTAGAAAACAAAGGTGAGGGTGTTGTCTTTCAATAACGCCCTGTTTCGTAATCGAACCCGCCACTCGCGCGCTATTTGCCTGCCGTCCTGTATTATGGCAATTCACGTATCGTGTAAATCTTCATAAAAATGGTGCAGTGGTGTGCCTCACTCTCATGTTTGATTTGAGACTACAGACATGTCTGGAAGTCGTTATGTATTGCGTGGATGTGCATCATGTCTAACCCTTCAGATATTTTTTCATTCACATGCATTTTCTGCGTCCCTATGGCATTCTGTTTATTTTACTAATGACGCACATCTGCATTAACTTTTTCCAGTCTCACTGCCGAATTTGACAAGGTTGACATTAAGCCACAACAAAATCAGAGGTAAGTGTGCTTCTTAAAAAAAAGAAAAGAAAAAGGTCAGCCTGTGCTAGCTTCCCAGGATATATGCAGTGATTAACTTCCATAGAACTTGTGGACATTTTTCTTGCATGTCACAATCATCCATATATTTACTTGATGGATGTTTTGTGTAGTAAATGATTCTGTTTAACAGCCGCCAGAAGGTAAAAGTTGCAACACTTTGTGCAACAGTGCAAAAGTAGCTACACACTGTGGCTGTGTCACATTGTACTTCTAACAGGGACACTATATTGCAAAAGAGTGCAATTGGCATCCAATCTTCATGCTTTGATCAGATTTCTTGCGCAGCTCGTGCAGGTGAGTTTATCAGGATCAGAAAACATGATGTTTGTAGGGCTTCATCAGTGAACGTGCACCGTTTGACTCTCGTATTAAAGGAACCCTGGAATGGTTTTTTGAAGTTCTGTCAGCTATTAGGCTAGAGCATCATCAGATCATTCATGTCACAAATTTTGTGACACACCGTGTACCAAGGCCGCTAAGGACAATTATACCTTTTACTCTACTTCTCACCCCTGCTTTGCTTCCTCAACTCGTGAGACATGCTGGCGACCGCAGCACTCTCATGAGTGCATTTGACAGTTTGGGATTTGCCCAGTTGTGGCGCCTGAAATTGGGTTGAAGGGGTGAAGTTACAGCTGGATACGCATAGATCGTAGTGTTGACTGGACAGCGATAGCACGACAGTGCACTCACTGCAGTGTCAAGCTGAAGCGATGTTGCTCACCAGATGCCTCACCAACCTTACGTGGTGTTACAGCTTTATAAGCCACTGATTGCTAGATATTTGGTACACAGCACAGCTAAGACATTTCATTGTTTCCAAAAAAAAAAGAGACGTTAAAATAAGCATTGTTGCTCCGCTAACGTCAACACGGAGCACTTAGTAACATTAACAGACGGCGCTCGCTGCCCACGGTAGGTTCCTTCCTGTAGACTGAGATATCCAGTAAGATTAGTCACTGTGTCCTAGATATGCTGGAACAATTATGCTAACGCCTCCTTTATTTTTTTCAATGCCAGTGCAAACGTGTGCTTATCAACGGCAGCCGTTAGTCCGCCTTAGTTCAGGAAATGGTCATGATGCTACGCTGCATGAGGGGTTGCACTGCTTGTCCCACGTGTATTTTTGAGCGCTTTCCCCGGAGATGCGATAGATGTTTTTACCACTACAATATCGTACGTCTGTCAAATTGAACCAACGCCACCACCGTATCACGGTGAAGCGCATCTAGTAGCGTTGCAGTGACGCTTACCCTTCGGTTCCCCGCATAATGCCACGAATGGCAACGTGCTATCTCATAACACCGTATCTTTTACAGAGCCACCTAGACCGCCAACATAGTAAACACTAGGAATGCAAGATGCCACCCCATGGACCTGTACACAACTAAATGAAAAATTACTTTGTATGATTTCCGTCATGAGGCAATGAATGAGGGGGCCCCCTCCCCCATTTCAGCAGAGCACAGGCAAAGGCAAAATTTTTCAGATTACTGCAATGTAACCGATAAAGTTGAGAGCGGCTGGTGTCGGTGAATATGGCTGCATTCTGCGTAATGGGTAACATGCTGTCAACCATGGGCAATTATGTGCACATTATCTTTTCGAATTTGCTGTGCACCCACTACATGGTCACAAGGTAATAGGCACAGTAACGTGTGTGCCTTTTATAGTGGGCGGCTGGCTTTAAACCATGAACTCATATTGATCACATATTCTGACGCTGATGAGAATGTATGCTAGTACCACGCATTATTACTGCGATATTACATGATGAATTATGAATCATGTATACAGGACGTGTGTGTTGGTAAAGCATGAAGGTTAATTTCACTGTATTTCCAAGCAGAGGAAGTTAATTTCTTTGTATTTCTAAGCAGACACATGGCTGTGTGGTAGAACAACTGCTTGGCACGCAAACTACCGAAGCTCGAGCGTCACTCGAGTCTGCGGAATTATTTATTATTTATTTTATTTGCATCTTTCTAGATTATTCGGTCACGCACAAGATGATGATTTTTCCCTCACAACCAACGACGCTGACACTGAAATTTCTTCGAAATGAGCTCTTCATTGCTATCGTGCTAAAATTTGTTTGGCAGAGCCGCTGCAATCTGTGGCAATCCAGATTTTTGAAGTCTTGTAGTAATTTACACAGTTCACGCCGAGAGCTTAACTTAATCTTCAAAGACTCCTTAGGACTTGTTTAACCTACTCGATGCATTCATACGAAATTGTCAAAACCGTTTCAGGATCCCTTCAAGCTGTAAAAGGTTTTGTGTATTTGTGCTAAAGTGGTATTTCATGACACTTATAAGTTTAGGTTGACTGGTGGCTGCCTTACTTCTCTGCTCACCTACTTTACAAAACAGGCAGTCCTCCTGAATACCTTCATGATGGCTGACCCATGCTCTTAAAAAAAAAAAAAAAAAGCTTAAACGTACATTGAATGGGATGATTTCACCTTTCCTGAGGTTGTTTATTTCAGGACACTAAGTGTACAGAAAAGCCTGTATGCAAAGTTAGGTTTTTGAAGAACAGGATAATGCTTCTCGAATAGCTTGCAGAATAATGTGTTTGATATCCAAAGTGAAAAAACAAGCAGCAGCATTCTGAAGGACCTTGAAGTGAAAATGCGAGGGCATCTCTTGCATTGTCTAACAAAAAGGTGTATATTATAGTTAGGGGCTTTTAGAAGACTTTAAATACAAAATTTGAACAGTTATCAGTGGTACAGTTTTAAGATTGCTTCAGTGGTCAATCACTACCCATTTAGCCATGGCAAAATTATTATTTTTCTGGTTGAAGCCTCTTGATGAACGCTTGCTTTTGTGATGCCTTAAGCATAGCAAAATCGCTTCTTTCTATTATTTATTTATTTTCACTTTCTTGATGCCTTCTGATCTTGGTTTGGTGATCTACCTCGCTTCATGTAGTGTGTTATGTAGTCCGTCCGAAAAAAAAAAAAAGCAGGGTTTTGGATAAGCGAAGAAAAACTCGCTGGTTACCGAGTGCAATACATTGCACTCTACAGCAGACACCATACATACACCATGCATGGGCTTCTTTACATACTAAGCTGCACTACATGTGCATTGAAGACGAGCTAAAACAAATATGTCATAGTTCATGTTCGATTGTGGCAGTTGCTGAGATGACCTCTATGAAAATACTGGAATGATACTTGATGGTGAACTACTAACAAAATGAAAATATGATTGTGTTTATTCATTATGACATGTACATTGGCATCTTATTTTGAACTTGCTAATGACAATTTTATCTGCAGCATTCTTCACATGGGTACGTTATGCCCTTTTGTACAAACATGCACTCGTAGTTTGCTGCCATGCAGCGACCGTTTTGAATATTTTTAATGTTATGTTTTCATGAATGTTTTAAAACTTTGTTTACAGTTGTTCCAGCTAGCATAGCAAACTTGTACAACTTGGAAATTCTGACACTATGCAACAACCAAATTGTGGTAAGTTATTTTGCGAGCGTGCTCCTCCTACCTGTAATATAGAGAGTTGTAGCTTATCTTCCTTTGGAGAACAAATAGTGATAGCTGCACTATTGTATTCTGTAATTTTTATATTGCTAGAATGGTGTAAATTGCCACTAGTTTTCTTTTACCGTGACATGTGAATGTCATATCAGTACCGAATGTCATATTGGTACTGTTGGTACGGGTACACTAGCTAATCCTGTGAGAACCATTTTATGTGTGCTGTGCACTCGGCCATTGCCTGTAGTAGTTTGCTTGTGCAGATAAGCTGATGAAATGAAGTACGAGTACCACACACTGAGTGCTTTACACATGTGTTGTCTATCGAACTGGGGGAACTTGCAAGCCGCCATAGTTTAGCCAAAGTAGGCACGCCATATAGTAAACCTATTTGCATGTGAAGCTTTGTGCATCCTTTATTAAGGTGCAAAAACTGTTTTGCAGGATTTGATTAAGCCTCCTCCACCTTAAAGATTTGTGTAAAATTGATCGATTGGTGTTGCCACATTATGTTTCCGCATATTCATGCATTGTTACCCAATATTTGTTTTATGATGGAGCAATATTATAATGATGCTTTATATGAGGGAGCAAAACTATGAAGTTGTAAGTTAAGCTGCAGAAGTAACAGAAAAGTCTGTGTTGTGTTTTATGCATAGTAAGAAATGGAGTTTTATGTCCTAATTAAAAAGGCAACTTACTATTTTGTGGAACCTTTTTATAATATAGTCACATTCTACAAAATTAAAAATGTCTTTTTTATATTAATTTTAAACACATTCTTTATATGCTGGCACCAGTTGGTGAGCTTTCTGATCTACTTAAATATATTCAAGTATTTATCACAACTGTGTTTTTAAATTGAAATTTGGTTGCATTAAGTTTTATTGAAGAATGTCTCAAATGCAATATTGCAGAGGTCTGAAGTATTGACTCATATTTGCCCTAATATAAGAAATGTGTGGGAAGCAGTCTGCGATATTTTCTTGTGTAAGTGAGATGGGGTTTGATTTATTCTTCCGCAGCATTGATGTTCATTATTTAGATGGGTGAGCCATTTAAAACTGAAAAAGTGCACATATTAAAAAGAATTTTCTTTTGTGGTTTTATGTACTAAATCCACATTATGGTTATTAAGAATGCTGTAATTGGAGACATCAGATTAATTCTGACCACCCAGGATTTGTTAATGTTCGCCTAAGTATGAGTGGATGGGGGTTTTATTCATTGAAATTTCTCATTGAAATGTAGCTGCCATGGCCAGCAATCAAACCAGTATCCTTGCACTAGATAAAAGGTGAAACAGCACGAACTAGAAGAAACGAAGGAAGAAATAACGAGCGCTAACTGACTTTTTATCGCTTCAAATCAATATAAAGGAAAAGGTGCGGGATTAGGAGTAAGGCTCACTCTCAAGCCATACATCACGATACAATTTTAAATCTGTTAATCGACAAGATTATCATTTTAAGAGTGCACCTAGGCACACGAGAGATAGTTAATCTCTTCTTTTCTTAGTGTTAAGGACGGATCAATAATACATGTGTCGCCCCTTTGTTTAATCGTGAAAGCCTCGGCTATCAGACGACCATGCAGGCTTGGGTATCTTTCTATCACATTGCAGTCACTGAGCTCTGGCGTGCATCCGCACGTGTTGCAATGAATTGTCATGTTGCTACCTTGTTTTAGATGATGGTTGTTGAGGTGTGCGCCAAGTAGCTGATTGAGACAACTCTCCGTTTCTCCAATCTAAGTCTTCTTGCAGGAGGGCAGTACTTGATAGGCAACGTTGGTGGAGCATTTTACGATCTCTTGTGTTTCGTTGTACATGAAGGCTTCTGGTATCCTTCCTGATTGATGCTTCTACACAATCATCATCTAAAACAAGGGAGCAACATGGCACTTCATTGCTGCACGTGCCGATGCACACCAGAGTTCAGCAACTGCAAAGTCATAGTAAGATACCCAATCGTGCACGGCCGTCCGATAGCTGAGGCTTTCGTGATTAAACTAAGGGGCGACGCATGTGTTAGTGATCCGTCCACAACACTAAGCAATGAAGAGATTAAGTGTATCTCATGTGCATAGGTGCACCCTTAAAATTGTAATCTTGTTGATCAACAGGTTTTAAACTTAGTATCATGATGTATGGCTTGACAGTTCATGCCACTTTCTATCCCGCATTATTTGAAGCAATAAACAGTCGGTTGTTAGCGCTTGTCTTGTCTGTTATTTCTTCCTTTGTATCTTCTAGTTAGTGCTGTTTTACTTTTTACCATGTTCGACCAACTAGCCCAACGAAACATACTTCTGGGATCCTTGAGCTCAGCAGCTCAACACTTCAGCTGCTAAACTTCCGCAGCACGTATTTAGCAAATTATGAAAGGTGGGAGTGTGATAAGGACCTTACAATGTGTGCTGGCCTGCTGCAGTGTCTGGTTTAAACTGATGTTTCATATCATTGCTCGCAGGAGTTGCCATCTTCTATCTCTACCATGCCAAAACTCAAGATTCTGAACTTGGCGTGAGTAGCTCCGATGAACTTGCATGCTTATGATGTCGAAGTATTTCAGTAGTGTGCTTTGCAAGCAGCTATTAAATGAATGATGAGTGTAATATGTATAAATGGATCTAGTAGATTATAAGACAATTAACTAACCTGCTTAATTGGCACAGTGGTTATGGCAGAGAAATGCCAATGGGAAATGAATGCTTAGGTGCTTACATGTGCATTTGTGGAAATTGAAGTGGTAAAGATTTTTGTGGTTGCCTTGAATGCGCTTCTCAAGCACAGTGCAGGTTAGAGACATAGTGATTATTAATGATTCAGTGTGTTTTTGAAATGTGCACATGATTGGTTTGTAGTTTTTATGGGTTTGCATCATTATAGGCTCTTGCGTCTAGGGGGTTTACTTAGATGTAAGAATTTTTATCATTCTGCAGGAACCATCTAGGATCTTTATTGATTTGACCCTAATTGTTCTTGCTATACAGAATCATTTCCTGTTTTGACTGTTCTTGGGGTGTAAGTCATTGCTAATGCATGAGGGATATGCTAATGAAGGCAACTGTAGGGTTTATTTCAACACACCTTATTGTCAGATTGACCCTTGGTTGTGCTGACATGTCGCATGCCAGCTTAGGTGTAACACAAAATTTTTTAGATTCATTGCTAAGTAGCTGGAGCTTTTCACAATTGTATAGTTCTCCCCTCTGTATACTCCGACTGCGTGATTTGTACTGTTTTAGTATGCAACCAGTTGTTGCCAAATCACCCATGACCTGATTGGAATAGCATTCTTTTTTTGTGTGTGTGGTTATCTATTTCGGCCATAGCTTGATGCGAATTTCTTAGGAGATGCACTTTTTACGAATTACATCTTCCTGTTGGTTAATAATGTTCTACAATGCACATTATCTGTTTTCTCTTGCTCAGTTGTGTTGTTCTTGTCAGTTTCATTTTGGATTTCCTGTTCTTTTAAAGCCTGCCAATTAATTGCGAAGAATTTCATAGCAAACGTCGGCGACTTTGAGCGTATCTATATATCTATCTAGCCGCTTACGACTTTTAGCTCTCCTGGCCGTTTGGATAATGGTATCGATACCAAACTTGGTATGACATAACATGACTGTATGACAAACATAACTGACCAGTCATAACATGAAAATCATGACATGAATGTCATGAATTACATTTCATAATCTTGCTGCTCTTGCGGTGATTTTATTCACATGACATGCTGCGAAACTTGTATGGGATGACATGACTGCATGGCAGATACAAGCGACAGACCCTAACATGAAAATTATGACATGTGTGTCATGTAACATGATTACATGCCACACTTATGATGTGCTCGCGGCTGTGTTGCTAGCTTCACATATGCCAAATTTGGTATTATGAGACATGAATGGATGACGAAGGTATGTGACATGTGTGAACATGATAATGATGAGATGCGTGTCATGTAACAACATGGCTACATACCACGCTCATGATACGCTGGCGGCCGCTTCGCTAGCTTCATTTATACTAAATTTGGTATTGCATGACGCGAACGGACGACGAAGGTAAATGACACGTCCAAACCTGATAATCATTACATGCGTGTCATGTAACAACTTGACTATATGCCACACTCATGATGCGCTCGCGGCCGTTTCGCTTGCTTCGCATATACTGAATTTGGTATTACGTGACGTCAATGGATGACGAAGGTAGATGACTGGTGCAAACATGATGATCATGACACGCTTGACATGTAAGAACATGACAACATACCATGCCCATGATGCGCTCGTGGCCGTTTCCAAGCTCTATATATACCAAATTTGGTATCACGGGACATGAATAGACGATGAAGCTAAATGACACGTCCAAACCTGATAATCATAATATGCGTGTCATGTAAAACTTGACCATATGCTACGCTTATAATGTTCTTGCGGCCACTTCACTAGTTCACATACACCAAATTTGGTATTACGTGACATGAATGGACGACGAATGTAAATTACACATCCAAACATGATAATCATGATATGGATGTCATGTAAAGCATGACTACATGCTATGCTTATAGCATGCTTGCAGCCATTTTGCTAGCTTCATATATAAGAATTTTAGTATTCGGTGACGTTAATAGATGATGAAGGTAAATGAAACGTCAAAACATAATAATATGAGGTCATTTACGGCATAATTTACCTCCACTTCGTAATGTTGGGCCGATTTTAAAGTGACCTATCAACCTTCCTCATTCGTGCTTCACATATCATAGAATCGCACTGTACTAGGGATCTGCCTTTCTTGTTGTTATATGATGTTTCTAAAGCAGTGTTTAGGACAATAGTCATGTGTTATGTACTTCAAGGTAAAAACGATTACATTGAGCCCTGCACTATTTTTCAATGTAAATAAAAGCACGTGTATTGCCTGCATTTCAAAGAGAATTAGTGGCAGCTTGGGCTATTCATCTCCTTGTCGGTAAATGGATGGTTACAGTGATACATTTTATGTGCTTTGTATTTACTGGATCCTTGAACATTATGGCCTAGTGATCAACACTTGACAGCCCATTGGAAATACATCTTTGCTGTATTGGTGTGAAAAGCGAGGCTGTTACTGTGAAAAGTCTGTTTGTCATTTTCTTTTTGGCCTTTGATTGTGCTATTACTTTGCACCTATTACTTCCTACCTGAGTGACATTGAAATTTACATTTTATATCTGGTAAACCCCTGTTGTATTATCTGATGAAAAGCTCAGACTTTTCTCTTACAAGAAACTTAAATTTAAAGGCAAAATTTCTTGGTGCGGACTGTGCACATATAAGAAGCAGAAATCTCTATGCATTGAGAAATCCATGCATTTTTAAAGGTGCCCTGAAACACTTTTTCATGTAACCATAAAATTAATTCACTGGAAGAGCTTATTGCCTCACTAATTCAATGCCGCGAAAATTTTAAGAATCTGTCCAGTGCGAAGGGAGTTACAAAGATTTTTCACATGCCGCAATAACATTCTCTCTTCTCTCGTCCTGACAAAAGCACTGGAAGCTAAGCAGGGAGGCAGGGCCACAAAAAAACGTCATGCGCGCTTCGTGACCTTGAACACTTTTTTCTTTTTTTTTCTTCGAATGTGCGACTTCTTTAGTGTGATCGCACGTGCACGCGTGGACAAGTAGTGGCCTCCCGGGGCAATTTCTGTTACGAGCGAGCGTGCCATGTTCAAATCAGCTAATGGCTGATAGATGGGCTTGCCACGTGTGATTTTTGGGCATATTCCATGATTTGTTGAAAGAAGAGAAAGCAATTTTTAGCTGACTTTGATGACTTATTGTGAATTCTAGGCCGCGTGCTGTGCTATAATATTTGGCTCGCGTGTTGTCGGGAGCCTCTACTACCGATCGGCAGCATTTTCTGACCATGCTCAAAAAGTGTGGCAGGGCCCCTTTAAGGTGTAAATAGTAACTGGTAAAAGTGTATTTTGGCATGACTGCTCTGCAATTTATTGGTTTCAGTGTCTTTGAAGCTGTAAAATCTAGTTAGTATTACAGAAACAATGCAGCTCTAATGTTGTGCTTATTTTTAGCCTATGTGTCCCATATGGGTATTGTGTACATGAGGGTCTTTATTTATAGCACTTGACTTGATGAATGAAGTAATGAAAAATTATGCCTTATTCGCACAAAATATGTGCTAGGAAACGAACGCGAGATAGTTTATGCTGTGTGGGGTGCTAGGCTTCCTTCAAGCATTGGAAGTTGAGGCAGGGTGCATACACTGGTGCTTTTGGAAGTGTCGTTTCCTGATTTGTCGTAATCTTGATCCTCTTACCCATGCTCTGTGTCACCTGCCCTCATCCTATGCCTGCATATTACCGAATTTAAAAACACTGCTTTTGTTCTCTGCTGTTCTTAATGAAATATTTCTTGCCTTCATACCAGATTTGTTGCTCTTGATAAGCATTGTTTCTCTGTTCCACACATTACGGGCATTTTGTACGTGTGTACCTGTGTATGCGTGTGTGGGTACATGTGTATAATTCTTAACAAATACGCATGAAATAGGTCTTTCTTCTGGCTGCTTTACCCATGGTAAATTCAATAGTGGGGTCGGAGCAAGCTCTTTTGCTCGCTGTAGAGCTAGTTTGTTCGAATGGCAGAGTGAGGAAGGAAGTCAAGCATTTAAATAAGAGAGTCGAATTCCATTCAGAGTGAGATGTACTTAAAGAAGCTGCTTCTAAAATCAATGGAGTAAGTGGGAACTTCGTGTGGTGCTCTTCCTTTGACTCATTTTTGCCTCCTTGGGAGGGCCACTGGTAGTCACGTGCCTTTATGGTAATGGCAGACAACATGGACGACTGGGCAAATCGTGCAGCATTGCTTCCACTGCTAGAGAGCCACAGTTCCGAGCGGCAAAGCTCCAGTTCCTGTACAAAAGAGCGATTGGATAGTGATAGTAAATCTGAAACTGCCGCGTACAAGTGGGAATTTGAGTGAATTCTAGCAGAATAGAATAACTACACGCAAAGTATTGTAAGCTGCTTGGAGCCTGAAGGATAGACCTTCCACTTCGCCTTCCTTCAGCAGTGCAGGTTGTATTCTGATCCCTTATTTGAAGGCGTTGCTCCACACTAGGGTAGTGGGCTCACTCGCGGAGTCTGACGGCTGCTTTGGCTCTGTCTTAATGATTCCGTATCAAAGGGTCATGCTTATCTGTACTTTCGTAAAGCACTGCCAGATCAGTGGCAAGCATATACTATGAGTGGGATACAGGAAATTGTACTTAGCTTGGTGTAATGTGTATGCATTATCGACCTGCTCCGTTTCCAGCATAAACCGGCTCAGCAGCCTGCCCCGGGGGTTTGGTGCCTTCCCCGTGCTCGAGGTGCTCGACCTCACATACAACAACCTGAACGAGCAGTCCCTGTCCAACAACTTTTTCATTATGGGTAAGCAAGCATCACAGGTTTCTCTTTTCACCTATTTGTTGTCACTTATGTATCAGCAGTGTTATGTAGGACAACATTGACACTGTTCTTACGAAAAACCAAAGTAAAGAAGCACCTGCTGATTGGTGGATCAGCAATGACCACACAGAAGCCAGGGAACTCATCAAGAAAGCACCTGGCTTTCACTGCACATGCAGCAGTAGCAGCAAATGCTGGACGAGTGGCCTTGTGGAGCCTGTTGTAAAGTCTCTCTTAGGGCGACTATTAGAAGTACAGTAGGAACGTACCTATTGCACCATGAATCATCAGAATTTCGGTAAATAGGGAAGTAGCCAGGGTATCGTTATTCATCATTGTGTAAAGAAGTTAAGATCCCTTGCTCGGCACGAAGCCTGTGTCTGTTTGGGAAGGACTTTCAAGCACTGCTGTTGCTCTGAGGTACAATACTCAAATGCCATGCATAGAGCCTGGGCTCAACTACCGCTTCATGATAGATATATTTTTCTAATAATGCATGATAGCAGTTACGGACTGCGGCGATGGTGAAAAACAACCATGCCACCAAAATTTGCTGCTGTGGTCTCTGTAAAAGAGGCGTTTGGGTTGTTAGCATCAGTAGGGTTCAAGATGTCCATGCGCACACAGTTACACAGTATAGATTGCTTATATAACATACATTGCCGGAGTTGCAAATATCCACACTATAAGGGTTACTGCACTATAACCAAAACAACCTTTTTAAAAAGCTGCAATAGTACAAAATGCGTTGTGCATGTAGCGGCTCATGTCTAAGATTCAAGGTATGTAGTGCAGGGTGATTTCAATTAGAATTTTGGAATGTTGAAAAATGAGCATTGTTAAAGGGCCACTCACCAGGTTTGACAATTTTGAGCTGACAAGCGCAATGCGTAGATGAGGCGTTCATGATCACGTCTGCCAAAATTTGCAACGCTACTCGCTGCAAAAATGTGTCAAATTTCAAGATGAACACTGCTCCCCCTCCTTTCTGTCAGTGCGCACATAGAGAATGAGGGCATGACGTGCACGTATGAATGGCCCTATGTACATGGCGATGCAGTGATGTTGGTCCTCTACGTAGATGACTCTGCTCTGACGTTGCAAACAGTGGCGCGTGACATGGCGAAAATTATTTAACATGGCATGCGTACTAGTGGCTAAGGTACTCCGCTGCTGACCCGCAGGTCGCGGGTTCGCATCCCGGCTGCGGCGGCTGCATTTCCGATGGAGGCGGAAATGTTGTAGACCCGTGTGCTCAGATTTGGGTGCACGTTAAAGAACCCCAGGTGGTCGAAATTTCCGGAGCCCTCCACTAGGGCGTTTCTCATAATCAAATGGGGGTTTTGGGACGTTAAACCCCACATATCAATCAAATCAGTGGCATGCGTAGTTTATGTAATTTGTTGCTTGAAGAGATTAATAAAACTCTAGATAAATAATGAGACGTAGTAAAGGAATGTGAGCGTCTTTTTTCCATTTTTCTCCCATGAATTGCAACGAGATACAGGGCTAATGTATCGGCGTTTCGCCTGCGTTCGTGCCCCGTGGTCAGCGCATCAAGCAGACGATCGCCGTGGAGTGCTCTTACGCGTTCGCGCATTCATTGTGCTAATCTATTCTACCACGTCTAAGCCAGCCTTTCCAAACCATCCTGCAGAAACAGGAAGAAGACCACAAAATAACGCTGGTCAACAAAGCAACGCCGCCCGCATGCTCAGGGGTTGGACTTGTTTGGGCACATCAGGCGCATGTGATCTCTTGGTTGGATGCCGGAGAGGGTGGGGAAGAGATTTGGCTTGCGAAGGCTTGCGAAGGAGCGGCAAGGGTTTCGAGCTCGCCTCCTATCATCCTCTTTTTGCACCGTTTCGAAAAACCTGTTTTCTCCGCTCCTGATGAACCGATTCAAAAAATTTTTGTGGCAAAATGTTCCTCATCGGACACCCAACAACCACTGTCTAACTGAAATTTGCTATGGGGCCTGGTAATGGCTCTTTAACAGAATTAATGCAAGAAAAAAAACTAACAAAAGAAAGTGTTATCGTGAAAAATCTCACCGAGTATGTTTTAGACCACCTTGATTGTGTGCATTACACAAAAACTGTCGAATCACTGCTGAAATTCCGCGTGCTGAATCACACCGATCCTTTGATTTTGCGGGTGCGCACGCGATGTCCAAGACATATCAATCAAATCACAAACCACCATTCAAGTGTTAGACGTGCCATGCATGCCCTCGTTTTCATTAATGGTACGATTTCAGTCAATGCATGTGCGGCCACCGCAAAGAGTGCAAGTCTTTGAATAAGTTGGTGGTTCATTATATACTGAGAACAGAGCAGCAAGGGCTCCTTGTTGCGCTGTTGTCAGTATAACGCACCACAAAGAGTTTCGTTGCATCAGTACCAGACCACTACTTTGATCGCCCATGACCGATTTCGAAAAGGCAATGAATGGTGATTAGGCTTTGCCTTCTTGTTGGCATATTGTAATAGGAAATATATTTGAGACAACACGGAAGATCGAGCGTTCAAAAAATCGCACTTAAGGATTGATCCTAGAATAGTGTGTATGATATTGTCGCGACGTGAAGACAGAGGTCGTATTTGAAGACGCTGAGAAAACAGCAGCGGGTCGGTCTTTTTATTAATGGCGCGCACCAGAGAGTTCCTCGTCTTTCTCGTTGTTGCATTCTGCATAAAAGTGTGCAGATGCGCGTATGCGCTGTCGCCTTCGTCATTTTCACGGTACGCACATGACATTTGCCTCCCTCGGAAAATAGCATCGTCCTGATGCCCAGCCACGGCGCTCTACTTATAAAACACACATATACACCGGCACCCACAGGACAAACGAGAGTTAGCTGGACAAGTAGGGTTTCATTCGGATGACATGCACGATCTCGGGCGAGCGGTTTCAGCGACTGGAGCTGCAATCGCCGTCAGGAACAACTTCGTAGTTGATATCGTTCAATCGTCGGGTGACTCGATATGGGCCGAAGTATCGTCGTAGTAGCTTCTCTGAAAGTCCGCGTCGACGTATTGGGATCCAGACGCATACCTTGTCGCCTGGTTTGTAGGTTACCAATTTATGTCGTAGGTCGTATCGTTTCGCATCTTTGTGTTGCTGGTGACAAATACGCACGCAGGCTAGCTGTCGGGCTTCTTCGGCGCGCTGACCAAATTCTTCGGCGTCAGCATGAGTGTCATCACACTCGTGCGGCAGCATAGCGTCCAACGTTGTAGTGACTTCACGCCCGTATATTAAACTAAATGGCGTCATTTCGGTAGTTTCCTGCCGGGCAGTATTATAGGCGAAGGTCACATAAGGCAAGATTTCGTCCCAGTTCTTGTTTTCTGTGTTGACATACATGCAGAGCATGTCTGCGAGGGTCTTATTAAGCTGCTCTGTTAGTCCGTTCGTTTGTGGGTGGTACGCCGTTGTTCTCCGGTGAGCTGTACTGCTGAGCCTGAGAACCGACTCGAAAAGTTCTGCCACGAACGCAGTTCTTCTATCTGTGATGAGAACTGTTGGAGCACCGTGCCGAAGGATGACGTTTTCTATGAAGAAATGAGCTGCTTTTGCTGCTGTGGCCCTCGGCATGGCTTTAGTTTCTGCGTAGCGAGACAAGTAATCGGTGGCGACAATGATCCATCTGTTCCCTGTGGTAGAAGTTGGGAATGGGCCCAGGAAATCCATTCCGATTTGGTCGAATGGCTTTGCTGGTACTTGGACGGAATGTAATAAGCCTGCCGGGTGGTGCTTTGAGTCTTCGACATGCGACACATGTTTGGACGTGATGTTTTCCAGCAGCAGGTAGGTTCGGCCTGTAGTAACTGTTTTGCAGACGGGACAATGTTCGAGTGTAACCGAGATGACCGGAGGTGACTTCGTCATGGCAGGCTTCCAGAATTTCTTTTCGCAGTGATGCAGGGACGACGAGCAAGTATGGGCTGCCGGTGGGAGAAAAGTTTTTCTTGTATAGGACGTCTTAGATGGCACTCCTCTCGCAAAAACTCACGGCACGTCTTCACGTCGTCCTGCTAAGAAGTCGATAAGCGGAAACGGGTCAGGGTCACTGCGCTGCTCTTGTGAAATAGTGGCCGCGTTGATGACTCCCAAGAATGCGGCGTCCATAGACTCCTCATTAATAGCGGCAGGTTCAACGGGTGACCGCGAGAGACAGTCTGTGTCGGTGTGCTTCTTGCCTGATTTATAAATAATGGTCATATCAAACTCCTGAAGCCGAAGGCTCCAGTGTGCTAAATGGCCGGATGGGTCTTTCAAGTTAGTGAGCCAGCAAAGCGAGGGGTGATCACTGACGACCTTGAATGAGCGGCCGTACAGATACGGTCGAAATTTGAGAACTGCCCAAACCACGGCGAGGCACTCTTTCTCGGTAGTAGAGTAGTTCTCTTCCGTGCGAAAGAGAGCTCTGCTGGCATAGGCTATCACTTTCTCGGAGTTATCTTGCCTTTGTATCAGTACGGCGCCCAGGCCCACATTGCTTGCATCGGTGTGAAGTGCTGGTGGCGCTTCCTGGTCAAAGTGCGCAAGAACCGGAGGTGTTTGGAGGCGTTGGCGTAATTTGTTGAACACTGTTTGTTACTTTTCGCTCCGAAGAAAGGGTACATCCTCTCGTGTGAGCCGCTTCAAAGGCGCCACAGTAGACGAAAAGTTGGCAATGAATCGTTGGTAATAAGCGCAGAGGCCTAAGAAGCGTCTCACTGCTCTTTTGTCATGCGGTGCAGGAAACTTTGCGACAGCGTCGATTTTGCCCGGGTCAGGTCGAACACCTTCGTGGCTGACCACGTGGTCTAAGAAGCAAAGTTCGATGAAACTGAAATGGCACTTCTCTGGTTTTAAAGTCAGGCCAGCCGAACGTATGGCTTGTAGAACTGAAAATAATCGACTTAGGTGTTCTTCGAATGTAGCTGAGAAGACGATAACGTCGTCTACATAGACCAAGCATGTCTGCCACTTCAGTCCTGATAGCACAGTGTCCATTAAATGCTGAAAAGTGGCTGGCGCAGAGCATAACCCGAATGGAAGCACTTTAAATTCATAAAGACCATCGGGCGTCATGAAAGCAGTTTTCTCATGGTCTCTTTCGTCGACCTCTATTTGCCAATAGCCACTTCGCAGGTCCATCGATGAGAAATAGCGTGCATGCCGCAGCCGATCAAGAGAGTCATCTATGCGTGGCAGTGGGTAGACGTCTTTCTTCGTTACTTGGTTTACCTTCCGGTAATCTATACAGAAATGCAAGCTGCCGTCTTTATTTTTAACCAATACCACGGGGGATGCCCAGGGACTTTGGAAGGCTGCATTACGTCATCTTCAAGTATCTTCTGAACTTGCTTTTGGATTTCGTCACGTTTTTTCGGAGCCACACAGTATGGGTTTTGACAGATCGGTCTCATATTTTCTTCAACGATGATTCGGTGCCGGGTCAGTGGTGTTTGCTTGACTTTCGACGTGCACGAAAAACAATTTTTGAACTGGTGTATCAGCTCTAGTAGGCGCTGTTTATCCAAGGGGGACAGGATATAGCAAATGTTGACAGACAAAGGTGTCAAGGCTGGGACGGTCGCGTCGTCCGGTTGCTCGAACTGGTCGAGCCAGTCCTCGACATCTTCATACAGTTTTCACACGGAAGACTTCGGGTACACGAGGAGTCTAGAAAGTTACCTGGTAAGGATGAATCGTCTGGGCCAGCAGGAAGATTCGCAGACGTTGAAGGGGCCTGCATGTTGGTAAATGGAGATGCCGTCAAGGGTTCTGGACTTAGGACTAGTAGACGCCGGCTGAATCTGGTGTACTGGAGTCGTAACAAGATGTTGAGGCTCCGGACTAGGTGTACAGGTCCCGAACAACGCTTTCTTGCATCAGGTTGCAGGCCCCAGCACCTTGCACCTGTGTCGAGACGTGAAGACAGAGGTCGTATTTGAAGACGCTGAGAAAACAGCAGCGGGTCGGTCTTTTTATTAACCGCGTGCACCAGAGAGTTCCTCCTCTGTCTTTCTCGTTGTTGCGTTCTAGCATAAAAGCGTGCAGATGCGCGTATGCGCTGTTGCCTTCGTCTTTTTCGTGGTACGCACGTGACAATATGAAGTTTAGTTTTGCGGCCAATAGATCAACTGCAACAAAGCTGAAAGCTTGCGTCTTAAAGCCATAAAGCTTTTGAATTGTGGACGAGGTTGCAAGCGCGATATCTTTTGCGCTCTACGATGACACTTGTTCTGACAGAAAATGATTGCACATTCCATACGGAGCGCATGGCCAGCAAGTGGCCGGAGCCTGTGCCGTTACCTAGGCAGCTAGCCTCTTCCCTCTCTCAATGCACCCGTGATAGCCGCATCGCAATGCTACCACGGTCTTCTTTCCTTTCTTTCTCTTCTCTCTGCTCTGCATTGATGCAGTGTGCATTTGTGCTGATGTCCCTAATTTTGTCGGCATTTGCTTGCAGATACTCTGCGGGCCTTGTACTTAGGTGACAACGAGTTTGAGAAGCTTCCTCCAGCCATTGGACAACTCAAGAATTTGCAAATTGTAAGTACCTTTTGAATAGGACAATTTCTTATCTATATGTTAACTGGTACCACTTGCAGCTTCTTTTTTCATCAACATTTTGTCATTGAGTTTCTTACTTGAGCATAGTTGGGAAATGCTGCCGATCGGTAGTCGGGGCTCCTAACACAGCAATCAAACATTATAGCGAAGCGCGAAGCCAGGAATCACCCCGCCGCGTCAGTCTGGTGGCTAAGGTGCTCGGCTGCTGACCCGTAGGTTGCGGGATCGAATCCCAGCTGCGGCGGCTGCATTTTCGATGGAGGCGAAAATGCGCTAGGCCCGTGTGCTCAGATTTAGGTGCACGTGAAAGAACCCCAGGTGGTCGAAATTTCCGGAGCCCTCCACTACGGCGCCTCTCATAATCATATGGTGGTTTTGGGATGTTAAACCCCACATATCAAATCAAAATGAAGCCAGGAATTAACACTTAGTTATTAGAGTCCACTGGAAATTTTCTCTTATTTCTACAAACGATGCCGTATATTCAAATTACTGTGCCATATACCCGCACTCACGGCCATTGACTGATTTGAGCATTGCTAGCTTCATAGTTACTAAGGCCGCCACGTACTCGAAGGTATGCTCGCGATTGCACTGGAAGTAAGCCGCGCACTCGAAGAAAAAATGCCTACAGTCATGACGTGTGTGTGACATAGCTTCTCTACCCCGCGCCATCTCTGCCCGTTTAGCTTCCAACGTGTTTTGGACGACCGACGAGAGAGAGCAATTACACGGTACGACAAATCTCTCAACTCTGCTTGTACTTGATGGATTTAAAAAAGTTTTGCAGTTGGATAACAAACTTCTTTAATGAAGCCATGTTATGGTTCTTTGGAAAGTGTTGCAGAGTTCTTTTAAAAGAAGATTCCACTCTAAACGTTCATCGTGCCTGAAGAGATCACCTGCCAACTTTTGTATTGCTTAGTTTATTTTATTGCCATATAAAGTTATACCTGTGTCACATAAGCACTTTTAAAAGGACATCTGGTCTATGGCCATCGAAACGCTGTGACTCTTTCTCCAGATTGAAATTGTTGCATTAATATATGGCAGTTTTAAATGGCCATTAAGTGGTTCAAAGTGGTTGAGGTGTTTTCTGCGGAAAATGTTTAACACTGGGGAATCTTTGTTTTTGTATTTATGCCACCAAAACTTGTGTAATATAAATCTGCCTAAAAGCACAAATATGTCTACATTATCTGTTTATCTATTTCAATACATTGTTTGTTCATGGTTATGAAATTCATAATTAGTTTTTCAGTTCTTGAGCAGCGAAACTGTGGCAAGTCAGACACGCTGTGACAGTGCAATGAAGACAAGCATGTTGTTGTTAAAAGTATGTTCAGTTCCCGCATATGAAGAGGCAGAAATACTTGACTAAATTACAGCTAAACCCTCGTCATAACGAAGTCAGCAGTACGGCAAAAAAGTTTGGTATGAGTGACTGCCCCATGAAATCTCAGCAAGTGCAGCTAAATTAGCCATGAGGACTTCCCTGAAGTGGTACTCGGTGAAGCAAACCTTTATTCACGCACACAAAAGTCAGTCAGCTGGCTTTGTTGGTTGCTTCGGCTGAGGGCAAGGAGTGCCTGCTCTAGTTTGTTCAGGCAAATTATCAGTTCGTGGTCGCCGCCTGCATACTCCGCTCAAGATCTCAACATTTGTAGATATCTTGAGCATCATTACATACCATTTCACTCCTTAAAAAAATTACAACACAGTCATCTTTCCTCTGCATGCTTCGCTTAACATCGATTCCCAAGTATGTGGTATCTGCAGAATTTTTTCTTTACTTTCCATCTGTTTATTGCCCACCATAGTCGCCACTTTTTCTTTCTGCCACACATCTCATTCCCGTCAGCTGTCATTGCCGCGAGCTGCAATTCTGCCACCACAACCGCAGGCCATAGACAGCCAGACTTCACTCCGTGATCTAACTGATGCTTTTGGCTATTGGCGACAAGCAACCCACTCTCCTGGTTTTGCTCTTTGGTATTGGGGATCACACTCCGGATGCCCAACACACAGCGTTCTGCAGATATCAGTAAAGATGCCGCCAGTTGTTTTGAAAGATTGAAGGCGGTGGTTACATGAATATGACGAGATAGCCATCTTCAGGGAGCAGTGAGGACGGTGTCTCACTTGTTTACTGGTTTGGTTCATTTTCACAGATTTATTGCAAGGCGGTGAGCATAACAGCGGAAGAAGGTTGGGGCAAAGAACGGTCTTGTTTTGAGTGCAAAAACATAGTGCACGTTGAAGACAGTTGCTTTTTGAGGAGTTGACAAGACAGCTTCATGTAAGGCTACTCAGCGTGGTGTTTTTTTTTTGCTAGAAACAGCAGGAGTGCATTTTTTGTTTTCTTTTAAATTGCATTTTACAATGAATGAAGTTTGCAGGAGACTTGCCAGATTTACTCAATGACCCCAGCTCATATGCACTATATATAGGCTTGGAGTATAAATATCTGCCACTTTTTCCTCCTTTATGGGGGTATTATATTTTGCAGTTGCTCTTTGAAGTGCCAAAATGAGATAGTAGTGTGGTTAGCACTGTGCACATGAGAGAGCCAGCTATGGACTTGAATTAAATTTTATATTGCCCTACAGTTATATTACAAAAGTGTTATGAATGTAATTAACCGAAATAATACATAGAACTGGTGAAAGTTGTGACACTGAAAAAAATTTTCAAAACACGCACTTGAAAATTATTTGGTGGGGCAAATATCTACTCAATTACCAAAGATAGGACAGTGCTTTGTTTATGCTCAAGGCATATTTGGCTGAAACGGGCCAGGACGGGCTGGGCCCAATCCTTTCAGGCTCGGGCCAAGTACGGGCCATATTCAAAAACACCGGGCTGGGCTTGGGCGGGCTGGAGCATGAATTTTTTGGGGCGGGCTGAGCCCGGGCCGGTAAAATTGACTCCTTCAGTGCTCTAATTCAAAGTTTCTGAAGAAGAATAATCAATGTCAGACTGGCAGTGGCCTCGTTAAATTTTTATATGCTTTGCCCTATCACACTCTTGCATTACAGTGAAGTTGCAATTCAGACTTGGTCACAAATCTATTGGCCCGAGAAAACGCTGGTTCCAACATGTAGATCCTCTGCGCTGTTACAATAGCCCCTTCATATTTTTTTAATATGCTTCACCACATCACATTCTGGTATTGCGGCAAAGCTGCTTGTAGAGCTCCTTTATGGCCGTTAAATGATCGACTCGCGAAAGGGCTGGTTCGAACCTAAGTGGCAGAGGTTGGGGCTTTCATTGTAATGCCATTTCAGACCAGAAAATCAGATGAACATCGTCAGCATACGAAATTTTAGATAACCTTATACATTGATGATACAGAGCAGATTAGCAACTCTGAATTGAAGGAGCATGCACTTGTCCACCAAATCAGTTGGCCTCCTCTGAAGTTGAAGAGGAAAGACGTGGAGGAAACAGAATCTTTTCCATTCACATGTAAAGTGTCGTTAACACCAAATTGTGAAGCATATGTGGCACCATATCATATAAAAAATTGCAATTCCGTTTCTGCGCTGCCCCATCAGCGATAAAACAACTAGGGAACAGCATCCCTCCATCACTTCACTAACGTAGCCAAAAGCGACACTTCCATGTTACTATTCCTTAAGAATGTGCTTCGTGATCCTGTGCAACCTTTTTTTTTTTGCAACTTCACTTTGAAGTATTCGAAAAATATTGAACAGATAATCTGACAACTATTCGAAAAACATTAGATTCGATTTACACTCAAAGTTTAATATTTGAGTTCACTTTGCAGCCAAAATTTGCTATTCGCACAGCTCTAGAAATATTATTCTATGGTAGTTCGACTTCATGCATAGTGACCGTTGTGTTCTACAAATTTCTCTGGAGAACTGTACAGCACGCTGATGCTTCTTCTCCTTTCAGCTCTCCGTGCGGGAAAACGAGCTTGTGGAGCTTCCCAAGGAACTGGGCCAGCTGACCAGGTTGAGAGAGCTGCATATTCAAGGCAACAGGCTGACGCTGCTTCCCCCGGAGCTAGGTAGGTGCCGAGGTGTTTGCTCTAAACAGCCAAGACTTTGTTGAGGATTCATCGTTTAACTTTCGTGCTGGCTGTCGTAACCAGTGTGCTGCTTCATAAAAGGTTGTCATAAAGCTCTGAGATAAACCTATCATGATGAGTCTTAATTTCAGATTACTACTCTGCATCTTCTGCTTTCTTCTATTATGAGGGTAAATTGCCTGGCGGGCCATCATGATTGGCTTGGTAGGCAGTCAGGGCTGGCAACTGTTTAACCTATTATACTTTTCTGTTGAAGTTCTGGAATCTGCTGCCCATCTGTAGTGAGAGTGTCTTATACGTACAAATGATATTATACTATATATAAGAATAGGATTGCACCCTAACATGGGCTTTTGAAATATGGCATGGTACCTCGGAATTACATGCAGAGTATCAAGGAAATAATGATCTGACACTTCGTTTGGTTTTGAATAGCATGGTGACTGTGGCTGTGGCATCGCAGTCAACTCCTTATTACGATGCTACCTTCTGATGGGCGTGTAATCCTAAATCACTTATGTGCTGCATGTGGGGGGCACATCAAAGAGCTGCTGGTGGTTGGATGTCGATGTCTTGCAGAGTAGTGGTGATAATGATAGCGTTGCACCGGAGGTCTAAAAACTGGCTCCTTATTCAGAGCCAAGAGCAGTGAACTTGAAGCTAGGCATAACCCAATTCACCAAGTCAGCAGAAAATTTATTTTGGCAGTTTTGATTAGGTTTGCGGGAATAACGAATTTTAGGTTCAAGGTGAATTCGAAGTGAATTGTGATTTTGGTCGAGTAATCTCAAATCGAATTCGAATAGTCTATATATCACATGTTATGAAGAAAATAGGCATATTTGGCCTGACCTTACTAACCCGCACAATATTTTTTTTAGATATTGAAGCAGACCTGTGCAAATGCCATGTTTTAGAGATCCAAAGGAAGGAGAAAGAACTTTGAATAGTAGCAGAGTATGACTTTCTGTAGAATGTAAGTGATAACTTCTAAAATATGTTGTTTTAAAATTTATTATACCTAGATCATATAAGCTAGTGTAACAAGCTTTTAACCCTTTACTGCCGAGTGCCACAAATTCGTGACATACCGAAAAACTTCGAGCAAGCAATTTTGAAATGTGTGCTGCCTTTAATGCCAACTGCCAAGTACTCACGGGGAAGGTAGCTTTCAGCATGAAAAATCTAGCACCGTCTCATACTATGTATTTTGTATGCTAGAACCAATTGTTTTGTTGCTGATGATGGAGAGCACGAAGCGCGTGCAACAGCTCTCCCTTTTTGTTCTTTCTCGCCTGGTTGATGCGAGTTCTCTCTTCAATAATTTTGTTTATTTGGTGTCTACGCACCCTAGAGATGGCACACGACATGTTATGCAGTTCTAAAGTATGTTTTTTATTGCAAGATCCTTGCTTCTGTGGCATATGGAGAATTCGTGACATATATAAAAGTATGCATGAAAGGTGCATTTAGATAATTTAACTGCGGAATCACCTTGGTAAGCAGCCAGAAACTTGCAGCAGGCACCTCAACAAAAAAGTACGCATGAAATGAGCATGCACGAAATCAGTGTAGAATAACAGCTGTTACAGCTCGGCACTTAACGCACATTGCTCAATCAGAAATACGCATAAAACGAACGCACAAGTATACACAGGACAAGTATGGACTGTCGCGATGCGTACTTCTTTGTGTGCGAGTAGCGCGCTACTTTCATAAACCGGTTGCGGCTGTGAGCAAAATGACTTTTGTGCTCTCTTTATCCACTGTAACTTCGAAGCACACGTGTAGTGGAAGCGCAATAGGTACAAAGTGTCTGAACCATGAGATTTGCGCGTGCACATAGGCAATGCCCTGTGAAGGCCCACAGACATAGCGCAGGGCAATGACCTACAGAGCGCGTGCCCAATGCACGCCCTTTGCGCCATCTGACTACTGATGATGAAAACGTGCTGAAGTTGCTGAGCTCTGAGGATGGCCAGCGGTATATATGTGTATAAATGGCTTGTTGTTAGCAAGCTGGAAAATGTACGCTCTCTGGCTTAGTGGTTTCGCTTAGAACTAGATCGCAGAACAACTGTATTACGGACAGCCGATTGTGTTCCTTCTGTCATTGTATCACTTTGCGCACCTTGGACCCCGCAGTAGTTTCAATAAGTTCCGTGCGCTGTCGAGCGAGAGGTTGTAGGTTCAGTGCCTGTCTATGAAACTATCTCTTCTGTTTTTTTTTTATTTGCAGTCTGTTAGCATGTATTTTACTCCGTAATATGGGTGATGGAAATAAGTCAGTGGAGCTGTGGTGGGCCCCAGCATAAAACATTTTCTTGTTGAAATGTCTCTTAGCAAGTACCAACTCGCCCAGCTACACGCTCTTCGGCTTGAAGTGGGGCTTTGCAGCAACGCAGATTTCTTCTGATTAAGTGTTGTTACGGTTTAGCTTCCCTGCACTGCAGTGAAGTTGTTATATTTACAAAAGGTTACATGTTAAATAGACTTCGATAGGTGCTTGCACGGCTTAGCACTCCTTCGCTACAGTGAAACCACCTCTACAGATGATAACATGCAGAATAATTTAGTATAACTTCGTTAGAATGGTGCTGCTTACAACAGACACTTGGATACTGCATACTAATTGCAGGCATTATGCTGACCTCCTTATTTGTTTCATTGGTTGAGCTTCGTTTATTAAGAATTTTGGTACAAAAGACATTTAAATATAATTGACTAAAGTGTAAGGCCAGCAAGGTGGTCAGCACTTTCTTACAGAGGACTGTCCTACTCCAGACATCCTAAATTCTGTAATTTGCAACTTCAAACACCATTTGGCATAATTTCGGGGCGGGATTAGCGCCACTGATATCGATGAACTAATTTAAGAACAAAGGCTGTTGATCCTTGGTCTGTTGATGATAAGTTATGCTAAGCTACGGCAACGAAAAATCGGCATCCAGCATGCTGGGTTTTGCCCGTCAGGGCGTTAACGAGCGAAATTGCTGGTCGCTGCCACCGCTGTTCGGTGCGATCAATGCGGGGCAAGCTCTGCCGGTGTCCGCTACCAATGCGCAAAATGCCTATTCGCAATTTTAAGGATTCAGCAACCCATCTTATTCGTTGCTTGTAACAAAGCACATAATGGGTTCTTCACTTTCGCATATGTGCTAGCATGACAGTCTTGCCCGCTGAAATTGGGGCGAAGTTATGCCTAGCCACGACTTCGAGCAGAAGGTGCGACTGCAATGTGCAAGGCTGTGGTTGTGCATGGCTACGATGTGCATGACACGCTCGATTGGGAGTACAATTATTTGTCTCGCAGTGGTCTTCGTCACAAGGTCCGAAGCGCTGATAGCAGAACCTTGCCGCCAACGAGTCAACACTTGACAGTCGGTTCGAAATGGACGTGTGCGATGTTCGCAACGAGTGCAGCGCATGATCGTAATCTGATGACTAAATTTACACTCACAGATGCTTGAACTAAGGCGTAATTGTATCTTGAATTGTCCTAGACTCGTGAGTGAACCAGCATAATTTTGGGCAGCTGCGACCTCGCAATGCACATAAAGCAGACAACGCCATCCCAGCGGCATATTTTGAAACGACTGTCGCACCAGCGAGGCATACTGGAGCAACATGGCTGAAGCAGCCAGTTAGAGGCCTCGAAATGGATTTTAAACATTTGCTTTTTCAACACAGAGTGCTCTTTACGAAATACTTTTACAACAAGCCCATAATGGCGGTGGGCAGTTGTGTCGTTGTGAAGCTATAAATTTTCGAATATCGCTGCTCCCCCCCCCCTTTTTTTGCGGCTTCCGCAATGATGAGTGCAAAATACTTTTTGCAGCACTTCTACAAAGTTTTCAGGGAAGATATTTTGGAATCAGCGGAAAAAGGGCTACAGAAACTGAAAATATGATTTTCAGAAAATCAATTTTTTTATGTCCCATTAAGAATAAATCTATATATGGCTCTAATTCTCTTTGATTCAAACAGACCCATTAAAGTCTGTTGTAACAGTACTTGGATATTGCATATTCCTTTTACAACAGGTCAAAATCCTCTTCACTATGGAGGTCTGTTGTAATGAGGTTATACTGTATGCATGTATTCATACTTTGAGATTTTTTATGACTTAAAATCAAATTGAAGTGGATTTTAATACTCTAATATTTTTTTAATACTTGAAGCATTCGAATATTCGCACAAGCCTAGTTTTGATGTTTGGGTGGCGTCTCGAAACAAGTAACTTAGTCTAGGAAACGTAACCTTTTTTCTTTGTGGTTATGTGTGTATATGTATATATATATATGCTGTGGCTTTTAATAAATCTCGGTTTATTACGATACTTTGCATCTTTGAATTTTATGTGTTTCTTTTGTCTTCTGTGTTGTACCAGTATGACTAGCATGACCTCTGGGCTTTAATTCTTTCGAAAAATAAGTCGTGTGTATGCATCAGCTCTCTGGAAACCTTTACGATGCATTTTAAAAGTACGAAATATCTGTCAGGTTCATATTTCTCGGTGTCGGGGGAAATCAATCTGCAACTGCTTATCAAATTCAGCACCACAGTACAGGACTGCAAAATGGGCTTCTCTCAACTGGCCTGCACAATTGCTTCTTACCTCATCTGAATTAGTCAGGTATATAGCACTGTTTTAGTAGAGAGTGTTGAAAAGGTTAGCGCGAGAAACGAAAATACATTAAGCGGAACACTTGACACGTGGCTGTTGCTGCTATTGAGGATTTTATTAACTCCACAACGAATTCGCTCTGGTAAAATTCAACTCAATACGTATATGTAATGTGGTGAAGCAGACCACTTGCAGCCGTTTGTATAAAAAAGGATCACTCCAAGAATGGGGAATGAATTTCTGTCTGACACACATGTTCCTCAATAAGCCAGGAGAGAAAAATAAATACTATTTCAAATGTCCATTGCTTCCTACGAAAAAATACTCAGTAAGTTGCTACTTTACATGTTGTCAAGAGACTGTCTGTGACGGGGCGTAGTTTAAAATACGCCTCAAAAAGGCAAATTCTATATTTTGAATATCTGATATGTTGAACTCGTATCTTGCAATCTTTTTCAAGTTTCAAATGCCCGCTCTTGACAGAAAATAGTGAATTAGGCCTCTCAAATGACTCATATCATAAGTTTTGAAGAGCAGGCATTGAAAGCGCACAAGATTATTGGTGGCTTTGGTTTTTATAGGTCTGATTGATATGTTTTCACAGAAATGGCAGCATATGTGCCAATGTAATCCTTTGTTCTGAGCAGATTCATGCACTTGATTGTATCCTGTTGATGCTTTCCTTAAATTAGCATTCCTTCACTAAGCCGAAAATCAAATAGTGTTTGCCATTGCATCTTGCACTGTATTTGATCTGCTTATGAAAGGCTCAAGGTGCTACTCGGTGTTCATTCATACGTGCTTTGCAGGTTTATTAACACTGTGCTGTAATGAAGTGACATTGTCTGCCTGGCTAATGGGTGCTCGGCTTACACACGTTGCGCACGACATTCAAAACATTTTGAACACAGCGGCTCGCATTTTCAGGGTCCCCGATTTGACTCTTGCGTGCTTTGTTACATTTTCTTGCTTCCACGAAATGTTTCCTTCTCTCCCAGAATACCTCAAGATAATCATCGAAAAGTATGTCTTGTTTCATTTTACATTCAGAGCAGCTGAGATATTTAGGATGCAGCATATGTGTATGCTCGCTGAGCCACATACACATATACTTGTGTGCATATTTTACAATGTATGAATAATATGAGGAGTAAGGGAGCTTGAAACATTGGACAACAGGGTGTGTCACCGTGTGAATGTGAAGGGAACAAGTGATCAAGGTGCTTGTTTCTGCAGGCAATCTGGACCTTGCGAGCCATCGTTGTGTGGTCCGCATGGATGACAACCCCTGGGTTGCCCCCATAGCCGATCAGCTGCAGATTGGTGTCTCCCACGTTGTGGAATACATCCGCAGCGATACCTATAAATAGTGAGTTCCTGAAATTTTGTTTTGCATTTTCTTAATCTGTATTCTTGATACATTTCTTGAGATTGTTACAAGCCATGATGAACAACATGGAATGCTTCATCAAGGTGATGAAGATGACGCTTAAAATAGCACTTGTACTGTTATTGCTGCTCTGCCATCTTAGTTGAAGGACTCTGTACGTTTTCTGAATATATTTCTTTCTTCCTTTTGGTTATTCTCATCTGGTGAGAATATGTCCGAGTGTTCATGCGTAACAATATCAAATTTATGTGTCCCTTTGTTTATTGTAGCTTAATTATATAAAGCCGAGTAACCAGCTGGCCACAGAAGTGACTTCAATCGGCAATTTTCAGCAAGAGTCATTCACATCGTACCTTTGTATGCTCATTCAAGTAATAAAAGCCAACAAAACCTTTATGAGGCCATGCTAGAGGATGGTAAAAATTGTAAATACAAGCAAAGGAATCACCTACGTTGTTCGCTGGGTATAGATCTACTATCGCATTATTGTTTGATAAGTGAAAAAAAAAAATGAAGTATTCCGAAATGAGTGAATGTTTATTTGAAGAAGACTGGGATCTTTGCCTGATGGGTGCAGCACAAAAGCTGCACGGCGAACTTTTCAAAGTGTGAATCCTTATGCGGTTCCAAACATTGGCATTAGACACCAATTTTTCGCATTGGTTTGATCATGCTGTTCAGTGTTGTCTTCGTTCTCGTCGTCTTTGATGCTGTCAATGTATCTGTGGTCAAGGTCGTGGGTTGGGTCAGGTTCAAGGCCTGTTGCACGGAAGTGGTTGCACTTTAGTTGGTTGTTGAGGGCTGAGCGGGACAGCTCCCTTCAAGGTGATCGTGTAGTGGTGTTTCATGGTGTGTAGTGTGCACTTCCACATAATGTAGTACAGGATTGGTGTGACCTCACACCATAGCTATTCGTGCCTGTAGGCGGGGGGTGCATGCGGCATATTAGTACATACCCCATATTACAACGGTATACCCGTTCTGCTATCAAGTGTAGTGTAATTTGAGTCGGTTTTTGAGGTTGCCTGTCTAGAGTCTACTTCAAGTGAATTTCTGACAGGGCTAGTTGGTTATTCAGGGTGAAGATAACAGGTTAGAAAAAGCACGGCCACCAAAAGCATACATACCGAGCAAGCAAGTTTTGTGTGTATGCTTCTCATAATCATGTTATTTTGTGCTGTTTGTCTTCCCACGTGTAGTATAGGCCTCCTTAAACTTTAGTTTTTGATAAGTTGGTGGATAAAGAGTTACTGTGTATTCTACCTTTAGGTAGCATAGTTGTGCACCTCTTTTCTAAACACCGCTAGCAGTCATGCACTGCAGAGAAACTGATGCACAGGCTGAGCTTAGAAAACATGCCCGTGCCACCGAAAGCTGTTGCCGCCTTCTTAAAATCTATCAAGTCAACGTCGTGCACTCTGTAGCTTGCTAGCTATCAACTGGTGCTTTTATTTGCTCGAAAGTTATGTCCTTCACCTGCAAGGAGACTGACAGTCCTATTCTATGCAGCATCACAAAATCTGCCAACAGTATTCCCTCACGTGGGGTATTCCTAGCTGCACAGTGGGTACCTTTGCATGTGGCCATTGCAGAAAACGAAAAAGCGAATCGCTTTGCTTCGTCTTGCAACCATGATACTTGTGACTGTCTCAAAATTTTATGTACGATGGGCAACACTTGTCAGCACGCGAACACCTCTTAAACCAGCACCCAGACCAGCATGTGGCAAACGCATCGTTTCTTTCCCATGTTTGTGCCCGTGGCTTGCCTTGTCGTTCCAGAGCGTTGTTATATAAAGTAAGAGTAGGCTCTGGGCTGGTGTGCGAGCGATTACACCGTCAAGTGCATGGTGACAGTCCTTTGTAAGCTACTTGTGGCTCCTGTGAAACACTTGAGCATCTAGTAATATGCTGTCCAGCATTTGCCACGCAGCTGGCTTTGCTGATTAAAGAATATAAACTCCTAGGGCTTAAGTGCACGACCCTAGATGGTTATTTCTTTCCGAGAGGTTGTGCTTCCCGATGCGACCAGGCTCATCGAGCTCCACTCACTTTTATGGACCAAACGAACCTGGCCACCCGTTTATAGATGTTTGTTTATTTCTAATTTACTTATGCCTGTCTTAGTCATTGTCATTTTTTATTTCTAGTTTACTTATGCTTGTCTAAGTCTTCATCATTTTTTTTTTAGTTTCCTCTCTTTTTCCTTTTTCTCTTCTTCTATCTTCCTTTCCTCTATTTCTTCCCTCCTCCCGAGAGAGTAAATAGGTGTTTGCCCCTCCAGGTGGCAGTTGCCCGCTTGTTCTCTTCCTCTTTGGTGTGTCCTTGTGCATCCGTGTATGCGAATCAAAGGAATAAATAAAGCTTTGACAGCAAATTATTTACATCAATTCATCACTATTCTTAAAAAAATGTACTTAAATAATCGATGCTGTAGGCTTAGCGAATGTAAATCGATGCTCCCAGTATCTTGGAGGACATATATTGTGTGTTTGTCAGTTGTTTTTTATCCTCCTAAGCTGGAGCCACTTGATGTGGCGGCAGCAACGGCGCATGCTAGGCGGTATTATGCTACGCCATTGTATTATCAGACAAACTAGAAATAAAAAATGTTTTTGTACTCCAATGCCGCATTCTCAAAAGCAGGTGTGTTTTTCATTGCCGTTCTTTGACTAGTCAGGCACGTCGATTGGCGATAGGCGACGCGCTTCATCGATTGGCGACAGGCTTAAGCAAGTCGCCTGCAAAAACAGTGCGGCTTTGCCATGTAGCTATGGTTACTAGCCAAGCAAAATGGCGGACCTATGCACAACTCTGCCCCCGTAGGGAGCATTTACAGTAACATTAGGTTGATATTGCAAGCAATGCCATCTGTGACAGTTCAGGATGCTAGAGGTCGACTGGGCCTGGGTCCTCTGCAGTCGGCTTGACGAGTGCTTGGTTATGTATGAAGACTAGAGCCGTCCTGTCAGTTGAAGGCTACCTGTGATGTCAGTGGATGGTTTGCTGGTTCGAAACAGCACTCATAGAAGCCGTGGGGGTTATGTCACATACTCGAATCTGCGCTCTTGTTAGCCAATTCGTTTGCTGCCATTATTCTCAAAAGCGGCTTCATAGCAATCCACGAGTGCTATGTGGTCGAGCATATGTAAGGTATTGTGGTGAAGCGTTTTAAGAATGAAAAGGGGCAATTTTTACGGGGCATAGTATATGTAGCTATATATGTGTTCACTTTCCACCTTCTGTCATACTACAACCTCCAAAACACATATTTAGTATACTGCTAGGCCTCTGTAGTTATTTGACTTTTATGTGAAAATTTTATTTTCAGAGGGCGGTGAATAGGTATGTTTTTGCTTTCTTGAATAACTTCATAAACAAAGGGGTCCAGGAACTCGGAACTTGACGTATATTTAATGATACCTTATGCTACATCAATACAAGGTTCGTTAGAATGATATCGCATCGATCACTTGTGGTTAAAGCTTTGGAAATATCAAAACTTTGGGTGCGAAGCGAATTCAAATATTCAAGTATGAATGCGATTCAGATGAAATATTTGTCGAATAGTTCTACATTATTTTTTGAAACTTCGAAGTGAAATCGTGGAAAAGAAAGTTGGAAATGATTTATAAGCATATTCTTATGGGATAGGAACATGAAAGTGTTTTTTTTTTTTTGGCTAGTTGTATGAAGTGCTGGCAAGTGGTATTTCATAATTGTCTTATCGAGAATGAGGTAATGCAGAGGCTGAATTGTAATAATGTACACGATTTGGTGGAACTAAAGTGTTGTTGACATCTAACTCATAAAAAACAAAGATGCGATTTCCTCAGCCTCTTTTTCTCTTTCAACTTCTTAGGAAGCCGAGCTTATGTGACAGATAAGGGTGAGCTCCTCGAGTCTGGAGTTCCAAATCTGCCTTGTACACATCAACATGAAAAAACTAGGTTTGTGCGAATAGTGAATTTTAGGTTCGAAGCGAATTCCAAGCAAATAGTGATTTTCGTCGAATAATTTAAAATTGAATTTGAATGGTAGTATGACATATAATAAAAAAGGAATATTTCTTTCGAATTGAAATAAGGGCTCTATGCAAATGCCATTTTTTTTTCGTTCAAAGTAAGTCGAAACAACCTTGAGTAGTAGTTTCGGTAGGATGCAAGTGATAACCTGTAAGATACTTAACGTTTTAAAAAAATTTATTATACTTGGAGCATATAAGCTGTCATAACAAGCCTAATAAAATGATGAATTGATTTGAGGGTAACATGTTCTATTAAAGGGGCCCTGCAACACTTTTTTCTGGAAGCTATAGAGCCAGTAAATATGCTTATTGCCTCAAAAAGTTACCGTCGCAAAGTATCTGGAATACGTTCAGTACGAGCGGAGTTCCAAAAATTTGTCGCACGCTGCAATTGCATTCTCTCTTTTCGTCACGTTGAGATAGCTGGAAGTTAAGCAGAGAGGAATGTCACGGCGAAATAAAATACGTCACACGCACCTCATGACCTTGAGCGCCTCTTTTTTTTTTTTCTTCGAATACGTAGTTTTTCAGTGTGATCGTGCACTTACTCATGGACAAGAAATGGCCTTACGCGACGGCGGCGCGCCATGCTCATATCAGCTAATAGCTGTGACAAGAGATTTTCGAGCTTGTAGTGTCGTTTGCCGAGGGAAGAAAGCAATTTTAGCTCTGAAGTTTTTTCTGAATTACTCTGAAATTTTTTCTGAATGACCATGTTCAGTAAGTGTTGCAGAGCCCCTTTAAATTTGAGGGGGGGGGGGGGGGGGGGCTTTGCAGCAAAGCGAGTTTCCCCTGGATAGGTGCTTTCGCGGATTAGCATTCCTACATTGCAGTAAAACCACTTTACAGGCGGTGGCATGCGGATTAATATACACCTATTCGTTCATTGCGAATACTTCGAAAATATTCGATAATTTAAATTCGAATACTCAACTATTCGTTCAAAAATTCGA